GGTTAGTATCAGGTTGGAAAACTGATGGGTTGAATTCTTCTTGATTTATCTGTGCACAAGCAGAAAGTGCATCAGATGATGGAGAGTGGCTGTAGGACTGTTTCAGGCCCTGGATGTGTCTGAGGGCTGGTTCAGGCCCTGGATGTGTTGTAGAGGTGTTTCAGGCCCTGGATGTGTCTGAGGGCTGGTTCAGGCCCTGGATGTGTTGTAGAGGTGTTTCAGGCCCTGGATGTGTCTGAGGGCTGGTTCAGGCCCTGGATGTGTTGTAGAGGTGTTTCAGGCCCTGGATGGGGTCTGAGGGCTGGTTCAGACCCTGGATGGTGGCTCTCGGTGGCTGTAGGAGCATTTTAGGCCCTCAGTGATGGCCATCAGTGGTTGTGGAGGTGGTTGAGGCTCCAGATGGTGGCTGTCAGTGGCTGTAGGAGTGTTTGAGGCTCCAGATGGTGTCTTTCAAAGGGTTTCTGATGAGGAAAATCCACAGCTGATGCTTGCATGATGCACAGCTCCAGTGTGGGGTGTGAGGCAGTGGCAGGACTGAATTTGGAGGGCAAAGCACCTGCAGTGCTGCTCCTGCCCAGGCTGTGGTCCACGAGAGGTTGGGACATGGATCCAGGAGCCAGCAGTGTGGGTGGGTGACCCCAGTTCATCCCTGGGCTCATCCCTGGGCTCCATGGAGCAGGAGCTGCCTCCTGGGCCCTGTGCTCCTCTACCACACCCTCCAACATCTCAGAGCTCTTAATCATCCCTATAAAACCATTTCCTCTGCAAAACAAAGCATGTGTTTGGTGAAATGTCTCAGCAAAGGAAATAACTGGTTCTTTGATGAATTATCTTAAATATCAAGTTCATAATTGAGCATAGTGCAAGTGTCAAAGTAGTCATGAGTTGTAACTGCTCTCATAAAATTTATCTTTTTGGATTACTTTCAGATGCATCTTGGAATTTTTCAATAATAGCTTGCAAAGGTCTTCTTTAAGCTTCCAGACAGCAATTATCCTGCAGGAATGAAGCAGCGGTAGCTTCTGCTAAAAAAAATTATACAATCTGGTTTTGTTCAGGATATTTTACCATCTACAGTAGGAGTTTAGAAAACTAAATACAAGACATAAAGGTCTGTAAGTTTTGTACTATCTCTATATATATTTTTCTATACACATCATTTCTGAAACTGCCTGGGAGGATATTTTGGCTCTGGAAACACAATCAAAAGGGAATAATTAGTGAGAGAGATGTTGGAGCATGGCAGTGCTGCAGGGCAGGGATTTGTCTCCACGTTAGTCACTGGTCCCAATTCTGGGAGTTTTATAACCCAGCCTGTTCCCACACGTGTCCATGGACCACAGCCCCTTCACCTCCCAGCAACGTTTCTTCCCTCTCATTTCCCACCCCTTGTCAGTGACTAATGCTGCAAAGTGAAAGAAGCTTTTCATTTCACGAGAAACTCTCTGGGTTTGGGGCTGTTTCCTCCAGAGTGTGTTAACAACAGGACAAACAGCGTGTGGGCATAAAAATACACTCATTTATTGGTGTTTTATTGTGTATTTATTGGTGTTTTATTGTCTGGCCCGTGCTGGGTGATGTGTGTGTCTGCAGATCCTGCCTGCCCTGTGCTGGGCAGAGCTCAGAGCACTGTGCTGGATGCTGCCACCCTGGCAGTGGCACTGTCCCTTTGTGCTGTCCCCTCGTGCTCCCCTGGCCACAGCCTGGCATGGCAGTGGTGCAAACACCTCTGAGAGAGGGGCTGAGGGCAGGGAGATCAAATCCATCACTGGCAGCTGTGTGGAAGAGGGTTCAGGAGAGCTTTTCCAAGGTGCTCCCAGCCCATCTCTGCCAGGACAGAGGTGCTGCAGCCCTGGGCTCAGGGCTGTGTGTGGTGTGGGAACAGCAGGAACCTCTGTGGAATTCTGCACCCTCTCCCAGGGGGAGCCTGGTCCATGAACTCACTCATGTGTGTGTGAGGCTCAATCTTCAAGTGCATCTTCTGCTTTAAGCCCTGCCTGCTATCAGAGCTGTTTTGAAGGAGTGGAATATCAGCATCCCTGGGCCAGGCTGGGCAGGGGAGCTTTGCCAAGGCACGAGCCCAAGGGCTCCAGCAGGGCAGGGCTGACCCTTGGGCCACTGGAGGAGCCTCACTGCTGGAGCTCTCTACAGCAGCCCTTTCCTCAGACTTGGAAACTTTCTCTTATCCAGAAAAATCTCCCTCTGAAAGACTTGAGGCAGAATAGGAGAAGTGTTTTTGAAAAAGGAAGGGATATTGCAGACTTGGGGCTTGGCTAAAGCCCTGCTGGTGTGGAGCTGTGTTAGTGGATTAACAGACACAAGGGATAAAAGGTTTGTCCTTGATAAGATGGGTGTAGGGTGGCAGTGACTCTGTGTTTTATGGCTGCCGTTGACCTTTGTGTGAAACTTCCCTCTTACTGTGTGCACACTTTGCAGTTAATGGCAAAGGCATATTGTGTTTCCTTGTCTGCCCTTTTCCCTTGTTTTAAGAGCAGGCTCTGGTGATAACAACCTCTGCTGTTTCATGGATCCAGACTGGGAGAGCAAACGTGCAGGCAGAGGATGTCCCTGGAGCTGCTGTGCACCAGGAACTGGAATGGTTTGGGTTGGAAGGACCCTCAGGCTCCTCTCATCCCCCCCTGCCATGGGCAGGGACCCCTCCCCTGTCCCAGGGTGCTCCAAGGCTGACCCTTGGCTGTGTTTAGTGTTACCTGTGTGTGAGCCAGGGCATGAAATCTGTGTGATCCCAGGTCTGGGTGACTTTGGGTGACAGGCTGAGCCCAGTCCCTGCTGGGACCCCCCAACAGAGGGAGGGCTCTCAGGTCGGAGGGAGAACTTCCCCAGGGAAGGCTGGCTGTGGTGGGCACTGCTGCCAGGGCAGCCCGCGGGTGTTTTCCTTCCCTCTTTCCACTTATTCCATTTTCTTGATATAAACACTGTTCCTAGAGGAGAACTCTCTTGCTGACTGCAGCTGCTTTTGCTGCTGAATCATCCCCCGCCTGCCAGATGTGGCTGATGGATTTTCTCTGCAAACAATCCTCTCTGCCTGGGCTGGTGTTACACAGCCAGGTGTCCTGGCAGGGGGAGAGGGAAGGAGCTCCTTGGAGGGGCCAGAACCTGCCCAAAGCCCAGCTCTGAGCTGCTCCATTGGGTCTGTGCTTCCCTGAGCACGTGCTGGGTGGTGGAGCTGGTCCAGGGTGTCCTGCAGTGCCCAGCTCAGGAATGGCCTGGGTCTGGGTCACCTCCAGGGAAGGGATCTGTTTGTGTGCCCTGCTGCTGCCATGCCTGGGGTGGTGCTCACAGGAGCAGGGGAGAGATGAGAATCTTGACTCCATGTTTCAGAAGGCTGATTTATTATTTTATCATATATTAAAGGAAAATGATATATTAGAACTGTACTAAAAGAATAGAAGAAAGGATTTAATCAGAAGGCTAGCAAAGGAAAGGAAGGGATGATAATAAAAGAATAGGAAGGAATGATAATAAAATAATAGAAAATAGTGATAATAAAATCTTGTGACTGACCAGAGAGTCCGAGACATCCGGACTGTGATTGGGCGTTAATTAGAAACAACCCCATGAGACCAATCCCAGATGCACCTGTTGCATTCCACAGCAGCAGATAATCAATGTTTACATTTCATTTCTGAGGCCTCTCAGCTTCTCAGGAGAAAAATCCTAGCAAAAAGATCTTTTATAAAACACGTCTGTGACACACGCCCTGTGGCACACGGCCTTGCTGGGAGGTTTTGGTGCTGGGGTGAGCAGCAGGGAGTGCCAGCAGTGCCCAGGCCTGGCTCTGACCCTCTGAGAGCCCCCCAGCAGCTCCCCAGGCCCGTCCTGCAGCTGCAGCTCCTGGGGGAGATGCCCAGCAGGGACCCTGGGGAAGCACAGAGCACCAGGGCTCCTGCTGGTGCCAGGGCTGGGATGCTGGAGCCCAGCCCTGCCCTGTTGCTGCTGGTGTTGCTATCAACACGGCCTTTGGAGGCTTGCCCTGCTGGCTATTTTGGGAGGCAGCATGTGATGCAGGCAGCTGCCCTTGCAGGGGCTCCCAGCCCTGCTCCCCACAGCCTCAGCAGCCTGTGCTGTTCTGTGCCCCCTCAGCCACATCCAGGTGCTGCTGGGGCTCTGGGCTGGGTGGGAGTGCTCCTGGTGAGCGCTGAAGGATTATCCTAAACCATTTGACTCTGTTGAGCTGGGGAAATACAACCTGTCTGAGGGCTGATCTTCTTACAGCTGCTGTTGGTATTATCCTGGGCTTTTAAAGTGCCCTCACGTGGTGATTAAACCTTGTGCCAGTGTTTTCCCTTTTTATTGTGTCCACTGAGGTGTCCCTTTGCTCTCCAGCTGCCAAGCTTGGTGGTGTGATCAGGGTGGGAGGAGGAACATGGATATTGGAGAGGTTTGGGATGGAGCCCTGCTGGTGGCTGTGCTGAGTGCACTCCGTGCCTCACCCTGCTGCACTCCTTGTGCTCTCTAAATCAAGGACATTTCTTTTCCTCTCCCTCCCTTTGCCTGGCTCTTTGCTCAGGCTGTACCTGAGGAGGGGATGCCTGCTCCCTGCCCCAGCTGCACCTGCCAGGCGTTCCTGCAATGCCCATAGGGGAATTTTTTGCTTTGCTCTGAGTTTACATCCTCTGTGTGTGTCCTTCAGGAGAGGAGTCAGAATCATGGAGCAGTTTGGAGGAGTCACAGAACCATGGAACAGTTTTGGTTGGAAGGGACCTTTAAAGGTCATCCAGTCCAGCCCCAACTCCATTTTGTTTAGAAGCCTCTAATTTCAGTTTTTACCTGGTCCATCCCATTTGCATTCTTTATTTTAAGAGCTGTCCTAGGCAGTATTTTAAACAGCTCCAGAGCTGGGCCAGCCCAGCATTTGTGTGCAGAGGTCGTGGTGGTGTCGGGGGACCTGGCTGCTGGGGGAGGTCTGGCAGCAGCCACTCTGTGGTGGCACCAGCTGTGCCAGGGTCTTCACAAGGCTTTCTGCTTGTGTTTTCCAGGTGTACAACTCCAACAAGGACAGCCAGAGCGAAGGCAGTGAGTATTTCTGCTCCAGCCTGATCCTGAAGGTGGCTGAGCTGTGGGAGGGTCAGCAGGGGATGCTGGTGGCACTGGGCTGGGGGGGTGACAGGGCTCAGTGTGGGCACCCCAGGGTGGCACCCAGCAGGGACCAGGGGCAGAAAGCTGCTGGTGGGGCCTGGGGCGGTGCAGAGCAGGGCCAGGCAGTGCCTGCATCCCTCTGGGTTCCCTGGGATCCCTGCATCCCCTCCCCTCCTGCCCCACACTGTGTCCCCACCCCAGTGGCACTGCAGGGTGGCCTCGGGACCTCTCCTGAAGGGGACACCTGGGACCAGGCAGCGCTCCTCTCTGAGCAGAATGTGCAGGGTGAGTGTGTCTTTCCAAGGGGGGATTGGAGCAGAAATACAGGAGTAAGGAATTCCTGCCTTGTCAAGATTGTCAACAAGAGCCCTTAAAAATAAAAATCTTTTTATTGTGGTTCAGGCAATCAAAGCCCTGGGTCAGGAAAGCACTTGTTTTCTTTCTAGAGGAGCAGTTGCACCTGGTCCTGTCTCTTATGTCCTGTGTTTTAAACCCTTAATTGAGCCATTTCCCAGTAGGTTGGATTTGCCATAATTGCAATTCTGCAGCCCCAGTCCCTTCCCTCAGAGCCAGGGCCAGGCAGGGCCAGGCCTGGGTTTGCTGTTCAGTGCTTGGTTCATTTTAGTGCTGCCTCAGACACGACATTTCCATCTGCAGCCCCAGCATTTCTCTCTCGGTAATTGGTATAATTTGCAGCTGATGTTCCTCACACCCATTCCAGGCCTTGCACAGAGCAGTCTCTGCCCCCTCTGTGGCTCCCTTTCCCTCTGCCCCTCTCTGCCATCAGCTGCACATCCATCCTTTCCTGCCTGTTCACCTGCCCTGTGCCCCCAGGTGCCCCAGCAGAGCTCAGGGCTGGGCTGGGAGGGCAGGGTGGTCCCTGGGGTGGGAGCCCTGCTGGAACAGCTCCTCTGTCCCCTTTTCCTGGGGGCAGGAGGAGTTTGTGGGGTGCAGAGCCCAGGGTGACTCAGCTCCGTGAGCTGTCAGTGCTCTGTGTCCCTGCACACAGCTCTGCCAGCTCTGTGCCTGCTGCTGGGGCTCAGGAGACTGTTTGGGCTCTCTTAAAAATGAGAACCCTTCCTGTCTGTCCTTGTGTGTCCTCCTTGGTTCTGGGAGCAGGCTGGGACCCCTGAGGTGCTCCCAACCCCTCTGCTGGTGTCAGCAGAGGGCTGGCTGCTCCAGCTCCACTAAACTCCTGTTCAGAGCTCTGCCTGCCTCCCAGGCACTCTGAAATCCATTCAGCTCCTGCCTGGCTGCCAGCAGCCCTGGATGCAGGGTTTTCCTGCAGGGACCTGCAGTGAGTGTGGGGATGGAGGGGTGTGGATGCAGTTCCTGATGCACCCTCCACACCTCTGCCTCCTGCCTGCACCTCTGGAGCCTGGCAGTGCCTCCCGGTGCTGTGGAGGCACTCTCAGGACGCTGTGGTTTTGCAGAGATTCTGGGTTTGCTGTCCTGCTGTGTGGCCAGATGGCCGTGGGCCTGTGGGTGATTTATCTGGTGTGCTGTGGAGGGGCTGAGGGCTGTCACTGAACCATCAGAGCCAGGGGAATTGAGATGCTCTACTTTGCTAAGCAGAAGGACTTGCCCTGCTCCATGGAAACAAATCCTCCAGGCCATTTGTGCTCACTGCATGGAACAGCACAAAATTCCTCCTCTCCCTTCCTTCCCACCATTTCACTCTCCATCCTCCACATCCACTCCTGAGTCCCTTTGGCTGCCCTGTGTGCTGTGCCCTTGTCTGGGTGCTCTTCCCAGCAATCACAGTCATGGAATCACAGAGTATTTTGGGTTGAAAAGGCTTTAGAGCTCCTCTCTGCCATGGCAGGGACACTTCCCACTGTTCCAGTTTGCTCCCAGCCCTGTCTATCCTGGCCTTGGGCACTGCCAGGGATCCAGGGGCAGCCACAGCTGTGCCAGGGCCTGCCCACCCTCATTGTAAAAAACTTCTTCCATTCTCTAACCTAATCTGACCCTCACTCTTCCTTTCCAAATCTTGGCAGCTCACTGGTAGTTAGAGCCCTGAGAACTCATTTCTGGTGAGACCTGAAAGCTCATTCCTCTGCTCTCTGCTTCATGATTTTTCCCCTTCTCTGTGGTTCTTATTTCCAAAATGTCTCTGAAAGAATTCAAGCCCGTGGTGCTTGCATGGCCCAGTGTGGTGGGGAGGCAGAGGAGCTGCTCTGACCTTGCCTGCCCTGACACAGCTGGAGCCAGGCTGAGGAGCTGATTCAGCCCCTGCCCCCTTCCCTTCACCCCGATGTCACACCAGTGTAAAGGGAGGGAATTAATGGATTAAACAGAAATAATCTGCCAGGCAAAAATAGAACAGGATGAGAGCAGTTGAGCAGCCCCTGGAATGTGGTGCTGCTGAAGGTCAGGTGAGCTGGGGGTGGGTGGGAGCAGCTGCTGTGCAGGTGTGCATGTCCCCTGTGCTGGTGTGAAGTGTTCCTGGATGGGTCCAGCCTGGGCAGGGCAGCTCCTGCTGCTGGGGGAAGAGCCTGAGACACGTGTGGGGGCCTGGAGCTGAGCCTCACACCTGCCCTGGGCAGGGACAGCTCCAGGGAGGCTCCTCCACCTCCTCAGCCAGGCAGGGACAGCTCAGATTGGAACACAGGGAGGATTTCTTCTCTGGAGGGGCTGTCCGGCCTTGGCACATCTGCCCAGGGCAGGGGGTGCCCATTCCTGAGGGGTT